TTCTGATGAAGGGTCTAGGCCCGAAACGTCAGCCTCTCTGCTCCTATGATGCTGCTTGGCCTGCTGTGTTCATCCAGCCCTGCACCTTGTTGTCTTGGATTCTCCAGCATCTGCAGTTCCTACTATCTCTTGATCTGAATCTAACTGGGTTTGAGATGATTACAATCTGGGTTTGATTCGATTTTAAATACAATCTGGGGTCGGTCTAAATACAGTCGAGGAATGCCTGGCTTGCAACCCGGGTTTAATTTGCTCTTGATCAGCGTGTGGTCTAGATACACCATGGGTTTTGTTTCCCCGGTTCTGCTTATGGGGAGGCAGGTCACAATTAAAAGTACAAGTATTGAGCACATAGACAAAGATAGAAATGGTAAGTAACTGGTCTCTGAACATTTATCACATACCCAGCAGGTGGCACATGCTCCTGTGACAGCCTGCCTTCTCCCATAATTTCCTGGACTTCATGGCATTTCTGACTGAGAGGGACATTTGTGAAATGGAAAATTATGAGAATGAAATAGCATTCCTCTTGGGCGTCCTTGGAGCACCGATTGCCCAACCCTGGACTGTTGATGACCCAACGGCTTTACCAATATTTTCTGCTGTCTGGCAAGGTGAACTGAATTGACCTCAGTGCCAATGTGCCGAAGATGGAGTAGAGGGATGGGCTGGGCTGGGCTGCTATCACCTATCCAGTAACTTCCACCAGCCCCCACACCACAAAGTGTGCGCTTTGGGGCAGGGGTGGGGGGGTGGTGAGACAGACACGATGCTCCTCACAGTCAAATAGCTGTGATGACAACCAGGTTAAGATGTCAAAACAATCAATTGTATTCACAATCAATAGACCCATCCTTGGTAACAGTGTGGAGAGGGTTAACTGCATTCAGAACACTTCTAAAGTATGCACTCACCTCCCTGGGGATTCCTTACTCTTCATCTCCATTTACTGATGAGGTCAGCTACTGAAATCGGTATTGATTTTTCCTGCAGGCTCTTCTAAATTTCCCAAATTAAAACTGAGCCAGATATTGAAAAGTATTAAAACAAGAGGTAGCCTCATCACCTACAAAACATCTTTGTCCTCTTTTGAAGAGATAGAATTAGTCTGGTAGTTAACTGTTGGCATGTGCCTGATGGGTGAACGGCCACTCACCCAGACTGTAAGGTTCTACAATTCTGTACCGAAGCATTCAGATGTGATCAACAAACAGAAAACATTTGGTAGCACCATCTTTTATGTAAACTGTGCTCCTTTGAATCCTGTGCTCCTATAGCAACTTTAACACCCTAATCAGTTAATCACAGCATCTAGTCCGAGAGGTGGGAATACAGGAAACCGCTCAGTCTGTTCCTAAAGATCACAGGAAATAGGAGCAAAAGTAGCTTTACCATCAAGCTAGCTTTACCATTCAACATGATCGTGGCTGATTCTAGGTTTCAACTCCACTTTCCAGCCTGGTCTTCCATACCCTGTTTCCCTGAGAAACTCAAGCTCCAGCTGTCCCAGCATCCACAACCTTCCCAGGCCGAGAATTACAAAATTTCACAATCTTATGAGTAAAATAATTTCTCCCCATTTCATTCCCCTATCCTGAGACAGAGTGCCCTATGTTAGATTTCTGGACCAGTGGACACAGTGTCTACTTCAACTAAATCATTAGTGACGTGTATCTTAACTCCACTTCTAGCTGAAGTATTATTGCATAGGTTCCAGGGTGGGTAGGCTGCGTAACTTTGCAACAGCTAGGTGATGTCACGATATATGACATCCCAGTGTAACAATACCTGCCTCATCTTCAGTTGCTGCAGTTGTTGCAGTGACAGTATTAAGCACAGATTCCCAACGATGTTCTGAGATCCAAGTCTGCAGTCTTACAGCAGATCTTGTTCATAAACTTCAAGACACCTGTCTCAACCAGTACCCAGTCTTTTGTAGTATATGTCACAAGGATTATCATATAGGTAACATTCAGACCATATCATACTGGCAATGGTGTTTTATCCAGAAACTGCGTCACCAGCTGTCCCTGGTTCGCTATCCCGGTTTGGAAATGTTCAATTAGCCCTCTCAGCCTCACTAACTTTCCTGGGGGTGGGGGGTGTGGGGCAGCATAGTTCCAAAATTACCCTTGAACTGAGTAGCTGACTTAGCTACTTCAGAGAGCAGCAGTTAAAAGTTAACCATGTAGCTGTGGGTCTGGAGTCACGTGTAGGCCAGACCAGGTAAGATTTCCTTCCCTAAAGGACATTTGCAAACCAGCTGGGTTTTTACAGCAATCGATGGAAGTTTCATAGTTGCTGTTACCAAGTCTAGCCTTCAAATCCAAATGTATTAATTAAATTTAAACACAAGCAGGGCGTTAGCCTGGGCCTCTGGATAACTAGTCCAGTTATCCATACACCACCATAACATAACCTCTGTATGTCCTGGGTCTAAATACAACACAGTTGATGTATCGCTTGATGTGCCAAACAAGAAAGGATGAGGAGGTGGGAGAAGACTAACTCCTTGAATTTGGAGAGAATGAAAGTTAAATCTGTGCGTGTGTATCCACAGCTTCTCTTCCAGCACGCAGCAGATACTGTTTGACAGTGTCTGCCTGACTCAGCCAAGAGCAATCAGAAACATATACTGATTGGATGCCTTCCTGCATGCTGGGAGCATGGCACCCAAATCAAGCTAACATTCTGCGCAGTACTGAGGGAGCGGTGCACTGTGGGAGGGCCAGTACTGAGGGAGCGGTGCGCTGTGGGAGAGCCAGTACTGAGGGAGGGGTGCGCTGTGGGAGGGCCAGTACTGAGGGAGCGGTGCGCTGTGGGAGAGCCAGTACTGAGGGAGCGGTGCGCTGTGGGAGGACCAGTACTGAGTGAGCGGTGCGCTGTGGGAGGGCCAGTACTGAGGGAGCGGTGCGCTGTGGGAGGGCCAGTACTGAGGGAGCGGTGCGCTGTGGGAGAGCCAGTACTGAGGGAGCGGTGCGCTGTGGGAGAGCCAGTACTGAGGGAGCGGTGCGCTGTGGGAGAGCCAGTACTGAGGGAGCGGTGCACTGTGGGAGGGCCAGTACTGAGGGAGCGGTGCGCTGTGGGAGGGCCAGTACTGAGGGAGCGGTGCGCTGTGGGAGGGCCAGTACTGAGGGAGCAGTGCGCCGTCAGAGGGTTAGTACTCAGGGAGCGGTGCACTGTCAGAGGGCCAGTTCTGAGGGAAGAGTGCACTGTCAGAGGGTCGGTACTCAGGGAGTGGTGCACTGTCGGAGGGTCAATGCTGAGGGAGGAGTGTACTGTGGGAGGGCCAGTACTGAGGGAACGGTGCACTGTCAGAGGAACAGTATTGAAGGAGCCGTGCACTGTTAGAGGGCCAGTTCTGAGGGAGGAGTGCACTGTCAGAGTGTCAGTTCTGAGGGAGCGGTGCACTGTTGCAGGGTAAGTACTGAGCGAGTGCTCCTGCACTGTCAGAGGGACAGTACTGAAGGAGCCATGCACTGTTAGAAGGTCAGTACTAAGCGAGTGCCGCACTGTGAGAGGGTCAGTATTGAGGGAGTGCTGCACTATGGAGGGTCAGTATTGAGGGAGTTCTGCACTGTCGGAGAGTCAGTATTGAGGGAGTGCCGCACTGTCGGAGGGTCAGTGTTGAGGGAGTGCCGCACTGTCGGAGGGTCAGTGTTGAGGGAGTGCCGCACTGTCGGAGGGTCAGTATTGAGGGAGTGCCGCACTGTCGGAGGGTCAGTATTGAGGGAGTGCGGCACTGTTGGAGGGTCAGTATTGAGGGAGTGCTGCACTATCAGGGAGCAGTACTGAGGGAGCGCAGCACTGTTGGAGGGGTAGTATTGAAGGAGTATTGCCCTGTTTGAAAGGCAAGACTGAGGCAAACAGCTGCCTAAATAAAAGTCTTCACATGAATCACCGCTTTAAGTGCTTCTAGCAGTTGTGCAGAGGTTCTACGTTAGTACAA